GGGGGGGGGGGGGGGGGTCGAGCTATTTTCCAAAGCACCCGAAGGCAGGACATAAAGCAATGAATGGAAACTAACCAAGGAGAGAAGCAATCTGGAACTATGGAGAAATTTTCTGACAGTAATCAAGCCATGGAACAACTGAAGTTGCCTTCAGAGGTTGTCGGAGCTTCATCACTGGAAGCTTTCAAGAAGAGATTGGACTGCCATTTTTCAGAAACAGTGTAGGGTCTCCTGCTTGGGCAGGGGGTTGGACTAGATGACCTACAAGGTCCCTTCCAACTGTCTATTTCTATTTTTTCTATTTCTATTCTACTCCATTCCATATTCTGTTCTGTTCTGTCCTATATCTCTCTCCTCTTTACTTCTACTCCTATTCTAGACTGATACCTAATTTTTTTAAGAAACATCAACAGTGAAAAGCTTCCTCAAACTAAGAACGGGCTAAGTTCTGTGGCTCTCTGGCGGGGTTGGGGGTGGCGAGTGCTGCCTCCCTTCCCCCTCGGAGCGACACAGGCTCAAGACTCCCTGCATGAGGAAATGTAGCATTTGAGAGAACGCGGGTGAGGTGGCCGCAGGCAGAGCTGCCCGTCGCTCTGTAGGTGTGTTGGCCGAGGGAGGGCGGCTTCTCTGGTCCAGTCCAGTTGGAATTTGGGCAGGTTCTGAGTCAGGAATCTACAGAGACTCCCTATCATCCAGGTCATGGCGGGTTTTTTTTTCCTCCAAAAGGCAACTGGACTTCCTTTCATTTTTCCCTTGAAAACGTTTCGCTTCTTGTCCAAGAAGCTTCTTCAGAACCGGAGGAGCTCCTTGAAAGAGGAGCGAAACATTTTCAAAGCAAAACACCAAGAAAGTCCAGCTGCCCTTTGGAAAAGCAACTCGGGGGCATCTGAACACGATGCCCAGCGCCCACCCTCCCACCTCCTCCGCACAGCCTCTCAGGACCACCAATGGGGCTGGAAAGAGAGGACCGGGGAGGGCGCCGGTGGGCCCCAGTCAGCTGAGGGAAGCTGGGGCTGGGTACTCAGGGGGCCAAGACTGACCTTCCGCTGGAGGCTCCGGGACCAGTGCCAGAGGGCCTGCACCGTCTGCTGCCGCTCTCGCCGTCTGTCCGCCAGCTGAAGGTGCAGAAAGAGGGCAGGAGGGCCACGCTGACCGCCAGCGTCCACAAAAGAAGCCCTAAGACCAAAGGGGAAGGGGCCCTCTCTCCTCACCCCAGGAAACCTCCACCCCTGGCCAGCCTCAGCCTCTTCCTGCCCTGCTTGGAAGGGAGCCGGGGGCCAAAGTGGGTGCTGGGCGCCCAAGCTCACCTTCCCCTTCCAGAAGGCAAAGGCGGCTGCAGAAAGTCTCCGGGCCAGTAGCTGCTCCCCTTGTCTCTGCAGGAGCTACGGGAGGGAAAGCACAACCTGAAGCCCCCTCCTCCCCATTTGGAGCGGGGTGAGGGCTGCTTCTGGCTGCTCCAGCGGCTTTTCCCAAACGGAGATGGTAATCGCAACGTCAGCCTTCAAGACTCCTTTCCTTTCGCTATCTTTTCGGCTGCCTTAGTAACGGGGGGAGGGTGAATCAGTGTGCTGGAGGCTTTAGAGAATGAATTGTTTAACTTGGGGAAAACTTATTCGCTTGCTTACAGTGCAACTGCAGCTCTTTCTCACACTAGGCCAAGGTCAACGGCCAGAGGTCTGCCTCACCCCCTGAAGATGCTCCATATGACAGTATACACATCTCCAATTGGATGGACTATTTGAACTACTGTGCGTGGGAACGTTGCCATAACTTTTTATATGTGTTTTCCACGCGTAAACCCCCAGATCTAGAATCCTTTTCATGCTACCACTTGATTTCCAGTAAAAGTTTCTTTTCTCTGTAATAATGGAGTCTTAAGGGCGTCTTTCTTGGATTTTGAACGGAGCACCACCTGACTTTATTCCAGATCTGACCATCTGGCGCTCAGCTTCATTCTCTCCCAGCCCCCCCAAATGGCTCCACTGTTTCAAGGGGTTTCCCCCCAAGTGCAACCCAAAACCCTCACCCAGTGGAAAGGCCACACCTGGCCAGAGAGGACCTCTCACCCCTGCTTCCCCTCCCCCAAAGAGGGAACCTCCTCCTGGGAAGGGAAGGGTCTCACCATGGCTCTGATGCGGCCGAGATGATCTTGCTTCCACTTCTCCAGGCACCAGCTGAGCAGCTGCCTCCGGTGGTGCTCGGCCGCCACGGTGAGCTGCCCCTTCTGCTGGGAAGAGCTGGCAGAGGCCTCCCTCCAGCGGAGAAATAGCCCCCGTAGCCTCCCTGCAGGGAGAAAGGATGGCTCAGCTGCTGTGACAGCCCCCGGGCCCTGCCTCACTCCTTGGCTGGGAAAGCGGCCAGACCTTGGCCATGTTAAGACTCGTGGGTCTCAGCTCCCAGAATCCCCCAGGCAGCTGTGGGGGAATTCTGGGAGTTGAAGTCTACCAGCTGTCAAGTTGGACAGCTCTGCCCTAGAAACAGAGTGCCCACTTCCAGGACTCTGCCCTGGGCCCATCTGGCGTCACCCCACTGCCAACTTAGATAAGGTGGGAAAGGAAGAGCAAGTGGGGGCTGGTGAGCCACTCCTCCCACCCCAAGTCACAAGCTTCATCAATGCACAAGCCAAACCCCAGAGCAGCCTCCGCTCACTGGGACAGGCTTGCAAAGGATCCCTGGGCCTGAGAGCCAAGCATCTGTTTAGCAAACTGTGTGGATTCTGCCTCGTGTCCTCCATCGCACTTAGTTCAAGTAGCAAAGAAGACCGACTCCTGGCTCCTTTCTTTTCCCAAGAGTAGCCTTTGCTGAGAACAAAGCGGTTACAGATGAGACGGGAAGGATCTGTTGGCTTGGCCCCAAAATCAATTAATGCAATTAATTCCCCCTTTTCCTCTGCCCCCCCCTCCCCTCCATTATCAATCAATGCCCAATTAAAAGTTCTCGGGTTGTTTTGGAAAGGGACCCTGCCTTCGATCACGCCTTTCCCGTCTCCACATTCCTTTGGCTGCTCTCGTACTGGGTTGGGGCTCCTCAGAGTCTGCTTCAAACCCAAACCCCCCCCCCCCCGACCCCCCATATTCCAATCTCTCCCCCTCCCGCCATGGCCGAAGTCAAGCTGGCAAAAGATGCAATGCGAAGCATGCAAGCAGCCAAACATCAGCTAGGGGAACCATCACTGAATGCCGAGGTTCTACTCCCGGGAAGTCTTCTACTTAGGCCAACACAGCAACCGTCTTCTCTTGACCCAGATGTTCCAAAGGTGCTTTTCCAACCGCTAAGAAAGTTTTTTTTTCCTTTAAAATACTTCACTTCTCATCCCAGAGGCTTCTTCAGATCTACTGAAGTTCTACAACTCCCTGGATGACAACTCCCCCCCCCCCCAACCCCCCCCCCCCCAAAACCGTTTTCAGGGATACAAACTAAGAAAGTCCTGCTGTCTTTTGGAAAAGCACCTTGGGGGTCACCACGGAGGATGCAGAATCTCCACAGACTCCTGACCCAGCTCCAAATTCCAGCTGGACTGAAATGGAGAAGCGACTCTCGTGCTGCTAAGGCAGGGATCGCCAAGCTTGGTAACTTGAAGACTGGTGGACTTCAACTCCCGGAATTCCTCAGCCGGCAAAGCCTCCCCAAAGTCTTCAAGTTGCCAAGGTTGGAGGCCCCTGTGCTAAAGGCATCAAAAGAGGTTCACGCAGCTCTGCCTTCGGCCACGCCCCCCCCAGGAGAAAACCTGCCCTGTAATAATGGTGGGCTTCAACCTCGTTGCTGGATGGGAAGGGGTAGGCCTCTACCGCCGGCAAGTGGGAGAGAGGACATGGCTGCCAAAAAGGTGCCAAGTGTTCTGACCAAGGCTTCCCAAGACCATAATTAAGCACGCGCTTAGTCCAAACAAGTCTTGTTTTATTTCAACGCTGGGAATTATGTAACGAGTCCCAAACAGTCCCTCGAGATAAACACCCACCTTTCTCTCCTTTAAATTGCTGCCAACAACTAAAGTGCCAAATGAACTATAAAAAACCAACCAAAGTACAAAGTCCACACAAGAGCTTCAAGGATTAATCCAAACAGAGTGAACGACTTTGCTTCCTGCAAAGATTTCATCACCCTTGCCTGTCCTTTATACCTTATGGGAGGGGCAATCACCTCCCAGACTTACTCCTGAGTCGCCCCTTTTGTCTCAGCTGCTCTTGCCTTCTAGCAGCCCTGCACACATGCGCATTGGGAACAGGCTCCCCTGGGTCCTCTGCCTTGCTGCTGCCAGACTCCAGAGGCTCCAGAGTTAGGACCCCACTCCCAGATGGTCCTGGCCTCATCCCTTGGACGCAGGACCCTCGTCCAAGTCCTCTCCAAACTCCTGGACTGGTTCCCCACTTTTCCCCACTGTCCGATTCCGCTACCGGCTGCATCGGCTGCCGGCAAACCACAACACCAAGGCTGAAAGAATTCCTCCAAAGAATTCCCTCCTTCCCCCCCTTACCTGTCTGCAACTGCCTCTGGGCATCCTTCACCGCCACAGCCACCTTTTCTCGGTGATTGGCACGCAGTGCAGCTGCTTCCCTCCACTGGGACAACACCTGTGCTGGGAGAAAGGAGGGGGCTTGAATATTTCCAGGGCCAGATTTTTTATCTAGTGGCAAGAAAGCATCACAAGACCCTCACCACAGCCGCTCACCGAGTTCCCCTTACTTTGGAGTTCACCAAAACACAGCCCGTGTGTGTGTGTGTGTGTGTGTGTGTGTGTGTGCGTGTGTGTGTTGATTCCTGTTGTCTCCTGCTGGGTCTGCAGCTGAGTTTGGGGACTGGCCTTCCCGTGCCCGAGGTTACCTTGGAGAGACAGACTCGTCTGTAATGATGCCCAGCCAGCCTGGCCGCCTTTGCTTCCTGCCTGAGCTCAGCTGTGTTTTCCTTCCAGGATCGCACCACCTGCCTGAGAACCGTAGAGGAACAGATGTCTCAAAAGGTCTGGAGCAGAGGTCTCCAAACTTGGCCACTTTAAGGCTTGTGGACTTGAACTCCCAGAATTCTCCAGCCAGCATAACTGCATAGCATAGCTGCATAGCGTAGCATAGCGTAGCATAGCATAGCTGGCTGGAGAATTCTGGGAGTTGAAGTCCACCAGTTTTAAAGTGACCAAGTTTGGGGACCCCTGGCCTTTAGGGTTGCCCCATAGCCCAGCCTGATGTTTGGGGGGAATGGCTTGAGGGCCGTCTTCCCACAGACACAAGGGAGGAGCCCAGCCACCTGAGGAAGGGGGACCACCAGCACCGTGAGACTGAGTCTTGGGGATTACCGCAGCAGCTCCCGATTGTGGTCTCTCTCCTTCTGGGCCACCTGGTGAAGGAGGCACTGAATGTTCTTTTGGTATGCCTGGAAGGAGAGAAGGGCCAGAATTCTTGTCCACAAAAACTTCTCCTAAGAATCATCTTCCTTGCATGAAAAGGGGTGTCAGGATTCCGGCAGTTACCCCAATTAAATCATGAGTCTCGAGCCAAACTTCCAAAACTTAAAAAGGATTTATGGGGAGTTAAAATGTCTGGCACTGCCTGGGTGTAGCCGACTCTGAGACACATCATTCATGGTCACCCCTTGACCCTGGTTTCCCCCACCCCTTGGGTGTATCATAATTCATATTCTCCAATGGGACACCTCCATAGCCAAGAGTCATCAATCATGTTCTCCAGTTAGAATATGGCCTGGCAGAAACTTCGGTCACCTAGTTACTATCTTTGAAAAACTATTTATGGAATGCACTTTCAATTTTCAAGCTGCCACACTGCTCCCCCCTCCCTTTCTGTTGGCAACTCTAAAAAGACCATAGAAATATTTTTTGAGTTAACAAGGGGCTTGAATGTGTCACCCCAGACTTGGGAATGTTTATCTGTGGGGCAGAGACCCCCTTGCTGCTTAAGGACATCACTGAGCACCAAGAAAAGACAAACTTCACTTTTGTTGGTCCAACTAAATGGCATAAGTGTGCACCAAATGTTCATGTTTTCTATGACTTTTCATCCAAACAGTGCAGGGCGCTGACAAACCCTGTGACTACACCACTTAATGACAGCTCTGGTTGCCGTTCTTAAGCAAGGACCTGACATGATCGCGACCTCCAACTTCCCGCTGGCTTTCTCACTGACTTTGTTCTGTGTGAAGCTGGCAGGGAAGGTCACAAACGGTGACTGTGTGATCACAGGATGCTGTGACAACCTAAGGACAAGGCCTGGTCATAACGACCACCCGCTCAGCACCATTATAAGTTTGAGCGGTCATTAACTGAGGACCACTTGTGAGCTTACTCCATTGCTTGATGAAACATTTCTCTTTCCCATTCCTCTTTTTCTTTTAACTAACTGCATCAGCAATCCTTTCCCTTCCACCGTTTCTATCCTGCCTCATTCCTTTTTTCACCTGGTCACAACTCTCTAAGCTTCCTTCGGTTGAAGCGATTTCCAAGCCTTTCAGACCTTCCCCCGTCCTGCTGAGTCTGCTCAGCCTTCCAGCCTCCAAACCAGGATTTGCAGAGATGGGGGACAGGCTCTCATTCTCTTCTCAATGGGGAGAAAACCTCTCCCTCGGTTCAGCTGCAGCCAGCAGATGCTCTGGGGCTGCCCAAAGCGCTGCCAGTCCGAGCCTGGTGACCTACCTTCCAAGCTGCCATGACCCTGCCCAGCAAGGACTGTTGGTAGTGCCCCTCGGCTTGGGCCGTCTTCTTCCACTTCTCAGTCTTCTGCATCTGGTACTGGAAGGGAAAAGGAGCCTGGAGCAGGACTTGCAGGGACGGTCCAGGAATAACAAATAACATGCAGAGAGCGAGAGAGAGAGAGAGAGAGAAAGAGAGAGAGAGAGAGAGAGAGAGAGAGAGAGAGAGAGAGAGAGAGAATGAGACAGAGAGCAGGAATTGCAGGGACAGATCCAGAAGCCAGGTAACAGGCACAAAGAGACAGACACACAGAAAGAGAGAGAGAGAGAGAGACAGACAGACAGACAGACAGACAGACAGACAGACAGACAGACAGAGACAGAGATAACTTTCTGCAAAGCAGCCATCGCAGGCCAAAAAACGGTGAGTCGGACTACTTCCCAGAGGAGGTGCACAAAGTCATGTCCCTGGCATAGGAACTTCTGCTTGACTTCCAGTGGCACTTCCGTCGAAGACGGATCGGAGACTGCGATTGTGCGTGGCTTCGATCTGTGCTATACCTATTGGAGGGTTCCAAACAGGACCGGATCTACCCTGGAGGGGTGGTGAAAGAGGGGGAGACCACCAGCTGGGTGGAGGGGAGCCTCATCTCCCCTCCCTGGCTAGGTAGACTCCCCTTAAAGACAAGCTGTAGCGGCAGTCCTTAATGGCTGCCCTGAAGACAGGAAGCTATCCGGGAATTAAGTTTGTGCTGGAGCAGTGAAGTGGTGAGCGGTGTGTGACCAGGCAAAATATTTTGGATTTTTTTCAAGGCAACCCCGAGAAATAGAAGGAAAGAGCCCTCATTTAAGATTGTGGAAGCGGCAATTCGAAAGTAAGAGGGAAATTATAAGGTAAATAAAATTGGACTACAAAAGGATTGAAATGGAAGGGATATTATTCAGAGAAAATCTTTTAAACAATAACAGAATCAGAAATTAAATTTGGAATATTATACAGAAATTGGCATTAATTAGGCATTGATTGGAATTCTGGACTTGTTGGAATTGATTAAAAGATAGAATAGCTAATGATTGAAAATTAGCGGAATCAATACAACCGGGGGGGGGGGGGGGGAAGAAAAGAACTTTAAAAAGTGGAAAGTGAAAAACTGATGCAAGAATGCCACCTAATGGTTAAAGGAACTTTTTTCTTACAATTTTATGGAAAATTACTGGTCTAGTAAATGCGTGAATGGGAAATGAAATAAAATACTATAATATAACAACAACCCGGAAGCACAAAAAAGATAACAGCAAAGGGACAAGCGGAGATAGTATTTTGGGGCTGTTTGGTGAGTTAAAGAAAGAGGAAACCTGCCTAAAAGAGCAAAAAGAACAATGGACATTGCAAAAAGACATGAAAGGAATTAAAACTAAGTTTGATGATAGATGTGATAAACAAAAGGGAAAATACTTCCAAGATTAAACAAAAGAAGAAGAAGCTATATAAGAAGAAATCGCAAGAGAGATCAGGAGAGGGAGGGGGAAAATAAGTGAATGGGAGATGAAAACAAAAGGAAAAAAGAGGAGCTAACAGAAAGGACCGGAAAAACTTAGAAAAGGGAAAACTGGCTAAAATTTGAAGAAATTATAGGATCGAGAGACTAAGAGATGATGGTTAAAGATAAAATAAAGTGGGGACTCCACATGGAAATGTATTTTGGTCTTTTTTAGAAATATAGATTGGGGAGTTTTGAAATTTAAAGTTTATTGGGAATTACTTTCATAAATAAAGAAATAAGCTTAATTGGAATTAAAGGGGAATAAGACCTCACCGTAAGAATATTATATAATTACAATGAAATTGTTATATTATTATTTAAAAAGTGATGAATGAAAATTAAATATAACTTCATAGGTAAAATTTGATTCAATAGAAACAGAGAAAATATGAATATTTTTTTAATTTTATATATATTATATTAGATATGAAATAGAAAATGCAATTGATTATACAAAGGGTATTAGAAAAACAAATAATATATTACATTAGAAATGACTATATTGTAAAGTATTTGCAATTAGATTATTATATTATGATTAAAAAGGTGATGATGAATGAAAATAAAATAAAATCCCATAGGCAAAATTTGGCTAAACGGAAACAAAGAGGAAATATGAAATGGTTATATGAATATCTCTGGGATAAATGTAAGATTCATTGTAGATTGCAGGAAAATACCATGTGAATGTATTCGTTTTATTTTATTTTTGTTTTTTGTTTGCTACACATTGGCTTTGAGAAAGTAAAAGAAGAAAATATGTAAAATAAAATAGGTAGTAAGCTGGAAATGAAAATAATAGGGGACAAAGAGTGGAAAATATGTTCTAGAAATGTTTTTGTTACTGGATTAATGAATGGAAAATATGAAGCGAAAATTCATTTAAAGATCAATGGTTAATGATAAGGATTTGATATGAAACTAGATAGGAAAGCTGGAGATGTAACTATGACTATGAATGTATATTGTAATCTGGAATCACATTGCTGACTTAAAGAGATGTATAAAAATATATATATATATATAAAAAGAGAGGAAATTCTGCTAGCACCTCTTACTCTCCTGGGCCCCCCCGTTTCGGATGCAGAGAGCGAGCTTCCACTAGCAGCCCCCCCCCCCCCCCCCCCCCCCCCCCCGCAACCTGGCTCCTTCAAGGCTCGAAGGCTTCAGGTGCTTGACCTCCAAGTGAAGGCACTCAAGCAAGGGCAGCCGAGGAGCAGAACTCCCATCAAAGTAAACCACCCAGAACTTCCCTGGAGTAAATGGTTTGCTGGGTGGGGTGCAGGTGAGCGGCTGTTGTCAGATGGGGGGAGGGCCCACAAGGTGGCAAGGCAGGTGTGTCAAGGCTTGGGGTGCAAAGGAGATCCAGCAAGGGTCGGGGAGGGTTAAACGATGGTGCACCGAAGTGTCAGGGAAGCATATGGAGAGTGGGCACCTCTATAAAACCACTATCAATAAAGCCGTTTCATAGGCACATTTAATTAAAAATTGTTTTGACATTGCTTTCATCTTATCTCCCTTTTAAAAAGAAGCAGACCATAAAAGAATTTTGGTGCTCCCCAGTCGTGGAAAGAATGCGGAAGTTTTCTCCTGAAACTTCCTTCTTCGGACAACTTTGGAAACCTCCCTGCCTCTACCAAGGGCCCCCTGCCATGCCCCGTGCACACCGTAAGCGTCGCAGCGTTCACCTTTTTTTAAAAAACAAAAACAAACGCCCCCAAAGGAAGCATTGCTGCTTTGGTGGCTGCCATAAAGCAGGAATTTCAGCTGCATCGGTAGAAAGTTCCCAATTCCATCTATCAGCTTCTTGCTTAGTTTCTGCCCCCCCCAGGCCACACCCGTGCTCAGGAGTGTTGGTTTTCACGGGAGAGCCTCCGTGGCATCTCTCACCTGCCGCCACTTCCTCCACGAACGCCGGAGGAGCTTCTCAGAATGGGAGTGCCAGGCCGCTGCCTCCTTCGCCTGCCTGAAAGAAGCACAGGGGAGCCGAGCTTTGTTGGCAGCAGGTCCTCGGCCGAGAGGCGGGCATGTCACGAGGGAAGGAAGCCAGATTTTAGCCTGGGGATGAGGGCTTCTTAAACTGAGCTCCACTGTATTATTGCTTGAAATGGGACCTCCTGATTGAGCAGGGGGTTGGACTAGAACAGGGGTCGCCAACCTTTTGGACCTCAGGGACCACCAAACTCATAATTTTAAATCCTGGGGACCACTAATATGAATTTTGACTGACAGTGGCTTGCTGACGTTGGTGGGAGGGAGAGAGATCTGGTCTAACCTCCCCCTGTCCCTCTCTCTCATACACACACACACACACACACACACACAGAGGCAGGGGTGGGATTCAAATTTAACAACCGGTTCTTGGGCGTGGCCTAATTTGTGGGTGTGGCTTGGTGGTCATGTGACTGTCTGGGCATGGCTTGTATGTAAATATTATAAATATTTATGTAAATATTGAATTTTTTATTTAAAAAAGAGCAACTTTTACACAAAATCAGGCAAAGCAGGCAGGCAGTTTGAGTTGCTCACAGAATCACAGATTCACTTAGAGATCTGTGTTTCTGCCATCGGCTATCTGAGTCTGTCACATAAAATTTGCTTGCAAGCAAACTCATAACATTTGCTAGCAAGCAAACTCACAAAATTAACTCACAACATACCATACAGATCTCAGGGAGCTCCAGGGCGGGTCCAGCCTGAGGAACATCCACCAGGAGATCCCTGCCATTAAGTGGAACCAGGGCAATGGTGGGACCCAAACCGCCTCTCAAGCACCGAGAAGCTCAAGGCGAGGGAGTAGGCCATCCCGGCTCCTTTGCCTACACACAGTTTCTCATTCAAAGCCAAGCCCATCTTTTTGCTAAGAAGGTCTGGGCTCTGGGCTCCAAAGGGGCCCTGCAAACATTCTCAGAGACTCAAAATGAGGGGCCTCCATCTGCCCCCCACGCAGGACCCATAGGGAGAAATTTGGGAGAGAGGACGGAAGCAAGGGGGTGGGGAAGCCTCTGTGTCCTATATCGCCTCACCCACTAGCCCAGAGGTCTCCAAACTTGGCCACTTTAAGACTTGTGAACTTCAGCTCCCAGAATTCTCCAGCCAGCTATGCTGGCTGGAGAATTCTGGGAGTTGAAGTCCACAAGTCTTAAAGTGGCCAAGTTTGGGGATTCCTGCAATAGCCATTGTGTGAGAGCATCCGCACAACACTGCCCTCCTCCAGCCAAAGAGAAGCCAGTGACCCCCAGAGAGGCCGTCTTGGGGCACCGCCGTCAGACTGAGGCCACCGAGAGACCAAGGCAGCCATCAGGGAATGGGGGCTGACGTTGGCATTCCCCTCTCTGGGTTCTTACCCTCTCTTCACTTCCCAGATGTTCTCCCTCCAGAGGTACAAAGTGGACCGAAGGAGCTGCCGCCGGTGATGCCCGCTGGCCAAGGCGATGCCCTCTCGCTCTTCCAGACAGGCCAGGGTGGCCCTGTGCCACCGGCCCCAGAACTGGGACAAAACCCGCCGTTCAGCATACCACGTTGCCTGCAAAGAGAGAGGCCGGAGGTTGGGATGGCGGCTGGGCTGTCCTGGGACGGTTTCCTTGGCAGCCTTTTGGCTTCAGGTGGGGAAAAGCTGGGGGTCGGGGGGTGGGGTCGGCGTGTTCAGGGACCCAAGCAAGCAAGGAAGGAAAGCCTCTGGTGCAGGAAGAACTGAGGCCAAGCTCAGGACCAGGAGGGATGCCGTCTAGGCCAGGGGTCGCCAGCCTTTTAGACCTCAGGGACCACCAAACTCATCATTTTAAATCCCACGGAGCAGAGACCCTGGGAAAATCCCCCCAAAAAAGTCTGCAGGAAAATCTCCCACCCCGTTTTCCTACTGATGGATCGTTCCTTATTTGGGGTAGCAGGATACTATCTCCAGCTCTGTTCTCGGGGGGAGGGGGAGGGAGGGGAGAGACTTTTGGCTTCATGCAAGGAAAGCAGCAGAAGTCTCTCTTTCTCTCCCTCAAACTCTGCCAGAAATGAGTCTTTGCCGGCGCAGCCTCTTGGAGCAGGAGGCCTTGCAGGGTCCCAGAGACTCATTTCTGGTGGAGTTTGGGGGAGAGAAAGACAGACTTTGGCTGCTTTCCTTGCGTGCAGCCAAAAGCAGAAGAAGTGGAAAGAAGCCGCCTGGTGGCCAGGCCAGGCATGTGGGGCGAGTGGGGCAAGTCCCTCCCCTCCGCCCTTCCCCGCCCATACTACCTCGTGTTGTTCACAATGCAAGCGACACAAGCCTTGTGTTCCCACGCAGCCTGGATTAATTGCTTTGGGGGTGATATTCCTCTGCGGACCACCAGTGGTCCCTGGCCCACTGGTTGGTGATCACTGGACTAGGCTGCTCTGTTCCCAGACTCCCTTTGAGACCCAGGCCCACAACCCTCAGGCTGAGGAGCCAGCGATGGGCCTGGAGATGCTCCTCCTCCTTGTGGAGGGGCCTGGCCTGACTCAGCAACAGAACCGTGCTGAGAAGCCGCCTCAGCCGAAGGCCACACTTACCACCTTCTCTGCCGCCCGTCCGTCCCGTTGCTCACGCTGCCTCAACAGCCACTGCGCAAAGACTTGCCTGGTCCATGTCTCCCTGTGGAAGAGCACAGCAGCGTGAGACGCCTGAGAGAGCAGCCCGGCCTCTGTGGGTCTCCACAGCCCACATTCTGGAGCCGTGGGGCTGAGCATGCAAAGGGCAAAGCAGCAGCATGAGGGAAGCCAGAGCTGGACCGGGTGAACACCAACCTGCCAGGCAGAGCTCCTGCCACACTGTCCCAGGGTGCCTTCCAGTCAGTTTTTGACTCTGGCAATTGTTGGGGTGAATCCCCTGCAGTTTTCATGGCAAGGTTACCCAGAAATGGTTTGCTATTGCCCTCTTCCCAAGGCTAGAGAAAGTGACTGGTTTAAGGTCTCCCAGCTGGCTTACAAGCCCAACACGGGACTAGAACTCATGTTCTTCCCTGGGCCTAAAACATTACACTGAAGCGGCTCATCTAAACTTTGCAAGTTTTGAAATGAGCCAAGATGGGGGCTTCTGGTTTGAGTTTCTTCGGCGCAGACCGAAATCCGCGATCGTGCACGGTTTCGATCTGTGCTCGCCGCCAGAGCGCCCCGAGCCGGCTGGTTTCGGGGCTAAGCCACCCTGTAGAGGTGGTGAAGAAGGGGGAGACTGCCAGCAGGGTCGAGGAGAGCCGCATCTCTCTTCCCCAGCTGGCCATTACTCCCTTTCCCGAAGGCGGTTGCAGCGGTGGTCAGAAATGGCCACCTCAAAGAAGAACTGAACTGGAAAAGAATGTGCAGGAGGAAGATAAGAAGAAAAAGTTTTGGTTGACCGGGTTAAATCGAAAAAGCAACAACATAAGCTACCCTGGAATTTAAATTTAATAACATTGTTCCCAAAGAAAATTTTGAAGCTGCGAAGGAGAGAGAGAAGGGAAAGGATTAGGTTTTTTTTTTCCTTCCATTCCTTATACTGACAGCTAAGAGACTTAAGCAAGAAATTGAAAACAACCCACTTTGACATTAATAGGCATCTAAGCTGAAAATAAAAGTCAAAGGGATAATAAAGATTTCTGGATATTTAAAAGTTTTTAAAAGCAGGAAAGGAGAAAAAAAAAGAATAAAAGGGCAGGATCTGGAAAAATGGAGGAGACTGCCTGGAACTAAGGAATGGAACTATAACTAAAAGGAACTTACAGTGAAATTTTAACAAGATTCCTCAAAGATACATTTCAACTGAACAAAATAACAGAACCCCAGGAAGAGAAAGTGGGAAAAAGAAGCAAGAAGAAACAGCCTTGGATTATTTGGATTACTTGGTGATTTTTGGTTTTTGCATCTAGATGACTAAAATTAACCGGGTGGTCGTTTAAAAGTCTTTAAAATAGTATCACTCTTAGAAGAACTGAAAATGGAACTTAAAAAATGGAAAGAAGATGCACAAGAAGGGAGAGGTTCTTTTGGTTTCGTATTTCAATTCTTAGAAATGGAGATCTGGAACTATGAGAAACAACAAGAAACGCTTGCAGAACAAGAAGATTGGGACAAAGAAGAAGCCATCTTTAATGATCAAATAATTTTAAGTGGGGGGAAAAAAGAAAAGGGGGGAAAGAGAGTGAAAGGTTTAAGATGAGAAAAAACAACCAAAAAGAAGAAGAACAATTTGAAAGATAAGTATAATATTAGAAAGCAACAGAAGAGGGGATTATAGATGAGAGAGTTAGAAGTAGAGAGACGAGGGGGTAAAAAGGGAAGGGAGAAGAAGAGGGGGAAGAAGGCAAGGAAAAGAAGTTGTAAAAGACAGAAACAAGAAATGGAGAAACAGGGAAAAGATATAAGGATTGTAACCATAAGCTTGTTTAGAGATAATGGGTGAAAATTTAATTGTAAAAGGGATGCTGCAAAGGTACATAAGATAGCATTGTTATATTACAAACAGAAATAATTTTAGAAAATATGACTAAAATGATGGATAAAATATTTACTGTAATGTAGTGGAATGTTTGTTAATAAATAAATGAATTAAAGTGATTGAGAGAATTAAATGGGAACATTTTAATTATTAATAATGATTTATAAAAATATAAGTGAGAAATATGAAAAAAAAAAGAATTACCGTATATACTCGAGTATAAGTCGACCCGAATATAAGCCGAGGCACCTAATTTTACACAAAAAAACTGGGAAAACTTATTGACTCGAGTATAAGCCGAGGGTGGGAAATGCAGCAGCTACTGGTAAATTTCAAAAATAAAAATAATTAATTTGGGAAACGATCTCACTATCATGAAAGGTTTAATTGATTCACTAACCCAAAAGAAGAAGATGATGACAGCGGGAGGCAGGAGTCACTCTCTTCCCCTCCCTCGGAGGCCCCCTGAGTCAGGAGTCACTACCGCCGGCGCGGCCCCAGTCCCGCCGCCTCGGGAAGGGAAAGGCAAAGCGCTTTTTGCCTTTCCCTTCCCGGCTA